GGTTCCGGTTGCCTAAGTGGTCAGAGCATTCGCCTAGTATGCGATAGGTCGCAGGTTCAAAACCTAGCCGAGTCATACCAAAATCTTATACAAATGGTACTTGCAGCTGCCTCGCTTGGTGTCAAGATAATATGATTAGGTGGGACATGATGCTACATGTCTACGGTATGATGCTGCACTGCTAGACATCACTATAAACTGACATACCACTCCTGTGGCCTAAGCTGTTGGAGCATTCGGGAGGTCACGGGTTCGAACTTCGGTCTAGGGGAACTATACAAATTTACTAACAGCTACCTGACTTGGTGCCCTAGTGCTAAACATCATCATAAACTGCCACAGTGCAGACATCGTTGCGATATGACTGAAAAATTGTGAATGCAACTTTAAAAATCCAAATAACACAAAACACTGAAACGAGTTATATGCAAATCTCCTTTACTTGATATTGCAGCGCCATCTATGATTGGATGAGGAGTATGTGACAAAGTATTAACGTATAGATAGGTTAATCATAAACATAATATGGGCGCTTTGTGACACAATCAGTTCTTATTCTTATTAAGAAAATAATGGCCTGGTGTCAGGACTGGGTGGGACATCATACTATATGTCTGCGGCATGATGCCCCAGTGCTAGACATCACTATAAACTAAATCACTGCAGACGTAGCGATATGACTGAAAAATTGTTATAGCTATGTAAAAATGTAAATCACACACACACACACACACACACACACACACACACACACACACACACACACACACACACACAGAGTCTGTACATATACATTGGTGCTCGACGCGACCTTCATGTTGAACAAATATCGTACTAGGTGACACAATTTTGTAAGATTACACCATATGACAAGTTTTGACGAAGGATTCAGTTTTTCATACTACCGTATACAAGAGTCTAAGAGTTTCTTGTACAGTGTGCTAGACAGGATCCTTTATCAAAACGGGTCATCGGGGTAGTCTGAGGAAATTTTGTCATACGATCTATTTTTTTTCCTTTCAGGTATTGGCTTTTTTCAACATTGAGCTCTCGCGTCGAGCACCTGTGTATTTAATACTTTTTGCCTTTCATTTCATAGTTGCTCATTAAACTTTGAATGTCTAGTATTATCGCATACTGACACAAACGAATTTATAATAATAGACGTTCCTTGTAGTAGTAGTAGTAGTAGTAGAGAGAGAGAGAGAGAGAGAGAGAGAGAGAGAGAGAGAGAGAGAGAGAGAGAGAGAGAGAGAGAGAGAGAGAGAGAGAGAGAGAGAGAGAGAGAGAGAGAGAGAGAGAGAGAGATTTACTGCCCAAAATTTGTTCGTCTGATTCTAAACAGAAATTAAAGCTAGAAGATCTTAGGAAGTTTGTCTAGTTAAAGTTTTAGTATATTTTGTTGCCAGAAATGAATAGAAATATAAATGGGTAATGCCTGGAAACAAGTTCCTTATGATTTACTATATCCTTTCAGCCCAGTCGGACTAAAATTAGATATCCACTACGCACTTAGGACAGTGATCTAATTTTAATCCGAGTGCTCTCCATCCAGACGGATTTGGGATTTCTATTTATAAATGCAGTCAAGTGATTTACCATTTGGAGACTAGTCAGCTTCTGGTTGAGTGTAATTACCATTATATTTGATCGATGTAGAATTGGTGTTATTATTATTATTATTATTATTATTATTATTATTATTATTATTATTATTATTATTATTATTATTATTATTATTATATACGATCATCACAGCAAAAGTCACCCTGACGCAGCAAGTTCAAATGCTGTTGAGGGGCCCCGAGTGGCCGAGTGGTCTAAAGCGCTGTTCTTTACGGATCACTGCCATCTCACCTCTGTCTGCGTGTGTTCGAGTCTAGGATTCGGCGAATGTGTATAGGTGAGAAAGCTTGCCGGTATAACGGTACCAATTGTACAACCCCCAGATGGGCGGAGCTTAAGGTGTAGGGAACATTGCATTCAGAAATAAACGACCAAACTAGCTGTGATTGGTGCATTATGTAAGAGTTGTACTTTCTGTTAGGCTTTAAAAAAAAGTTGAGCCTCTTGGCAACATGTGATATTATGTTAATTCATATCTAGATCATATTTTGTATTTTTTAAGATTTTTTTTTTAAAATGTGGTACACATGACTGAAAATGTGTCCGGTGTAACTAGATAACTCTTACCCCTGTCTAGTTCCAGTAGAGTTATCTCTCTTAAATGCAATGAAGTACCTATTTTCGATGTTATCAAATTAACAATCTAACATTGTTCTCTGTGACAGTGTGTGACATGCATGCTGAGGTAGGATAGAAAGTATATTTATTTCGCAAAACATTAGCATTGCGGTCTATGGAAAAGCAATTGGTACCGTGATACCTGCCAGTAGCTTTTCGTAGGTCGGTGGTTCTTTCCGGCGATTTCCCGGTTTCTTCCTTTACCATTAATACTGGCCGCCATGAATAGCCTATCGTGTGCTGAAAAATGGCGTTAAGCCCAACAACAACAACTGCGGTTGTTTACGCACTGTTTAAAATATTAGATAAGTAATTTGATGCACAAGGCGACTTTTTAAATGTTACAAGATTGCTTACCCAATTTTTGTCTTGTATACAGGTCCTAAAGTTATGTCATTTTTGGATGCATTTTGTTCATCTCTGTGCATGATAGCGCTTTATTGTTTGCTTTGGAAATATTACCCAGTCCATATTATTGGTTGGCAGATGTTTAATTATTGCTTGTAAATTACTCAGTGGACATATTGCATAATACAAGTGTAAATACAATAAAAGGAATATGTGCTAATTCCATTTTAGACGTATAGGGCCAAACACGTCTGAAATTAAAGAAATGAAGGGAAAAAAATCTATTAGGGATAGCTTGGACCAGTAGCGAGTGGACCAATGCAAGTCAGTCTTGTCTGGGACAACTCCGACCCATACCATTATAAGCTCGGCCCAGTGCATATCGATATAAGATAATTATGACCAGTTTTTAAAGATAAGTGAGGCCGAATTTTTTTTTCCAGGGGTGGGGGTATCAGGTTAAAAGATAGCAAGGCCCAGTTACAAGACAATTCGGATCCAATTCCGATTTTCATTCTTGGCGACCTCGAAGACAATACTATCAATGGTCATTAATGTCATTAACATGGTAAATTTTTTTAGCATGAAAACGTATCCTTTCCACGAAGATTTTTGCACATTGTCAGAATTGGAACGAAAAGAAAAACTTTGGAGTAAAGGTTTGTTCATGGATGAATACATAAAATATTGTATCCAATTTCATGAAAAACATGTTTTGAATAGTATTCTTTCTGCAAAAAAAATGCACAAATCCGCATAAACATTTCTACTTTCTTTATTAAACGATACTTTATTCCACGTAACTGAACATTCTCAATAAAAACGGAACCTTTTAATGAAAATTAGAATAGGCAAAGAAAGGTACTTTTCGCAAAATAGAGTGACATAATCGATACTGTTTATTATAAAAACGCTTAAATAAAATCAATTTATGTATAAAAGACTTTTATTGACAAGATTTACATTTTATAATATTTTCACTCTTTTTACCAAATGTTAGGTAGTTTCTATCATCTGTCGTCAACGTCATAAAGATTTCACTCATTTTAGTGGCGAATTTATTTTATTTTATTTATTTATTTTATGATTTTTGCGAAGAAACTGGCCTTAAGAACTACTGGATTACTGCTCTCTCTAGTCATTAAACGCGCCGTCACTTAAAGGGAACTCATACCGGCTGATACGATAACGAGTATTAAAATATACGCTAACTAACCAATAATTAAGTAAGAAAATAAAAAAGAAGCCGCCTGAGTTGAATGTCCTACTATATACCTACTATCCTCAACATTATACCGAAACTACCCGTATATTTAAAGTACCTTACAGATGTCGGACTTGTTAGACAAGGGTCGCGGGCTTTATACCTGCGCAGGTCATACCGGATCGTTCAGAAAGGTGCTAAGCTCTCATTTCATTTGCGTAATATTATACAGTATATCCAACAAGGCTTTACAAAAAGTGTTGTTAAAATGAACTTTTGAAGCCATAGTAACTGTAGTACACATGAACCGCAAGCAATCCACTCAGATCGGCAATATGGGTTAGACGGGTAATTATAGATTTTGGTACTGGATATGAGAATATGGTCTGGTGCTAGAGTCTAAGTGTTTGAATGGGTGTGGTAAAATAAATTGAACAAGTTTCATAGGAAAGCTTCTTTTGACGTGAAAAATGTGTCACGGTTATGAAAAATATCGCTTTCTATACGGAAAATATGAACTTAAATGCGAATGCGATCCTTGTACGCAAAGTTTACTTTTTTATGTGAAAAAATGTAAATAGTATGCACATACATTCATGAAAATACGGTGAAGTAAATTTGTCAAGAAAAACATTTAGTTTTTCGTAAAAAAGCACAAACTTCACGAAAAACGCGGCTCTCTTCAGGAAATGGGGAAAAAATCGTCACAAAAATGTGTCATTGTTTTCGTAAAGAAAGGAAATTCACCATAACAAATTTCTTCATCAAAAATCCTTCACATTTGACATGATTGTCTTGGGTACAAACCATTTACCTGCAAAGGTTATACTTTATTAGCTAGATAAATATTTACAAAAAAATTCTTCGTGAAGAGAACAGCTTGTTCCTGATAATTATATTTTTTCGTGCGCGCGCGTCTGTGTGTGTGTGTGTGTGTGTGCGTGCGCGCGCACGCGTGTTTGTAGAATAACAAAGGATGTTGTGCCTGCCTTAAATTCTTTATTTCGTAATCTTGGCTGAATCCCCTGCCAAAGGATGACGTTTATACAAAAATTAGCGAAAATAAATATACTTCTGTATACTAGATCAGGTACAAAGATGGATTCACAACAGTCAGTCGTGTCTGAAAGGTTACAAGTAATAAAGAAACAGCTTTCACAGAAAGCCCTTTTTTTTCGGGGGTTACATACATATAACTGCTTATGACATCTGTCACAAAGAGCCACTTTTTCTAGGGTTACATGCATGTAACCGCGTAGGTCATCTGCCACAAAAAGCC